TCTTTTGACCAGTTACAAACCATTATATGTATGAACAAAGTGTCTTATAATATGAGACGTCTGCTTGTGTGCGCATGTGAAACGATAGTACGGAATAGATAAATTGTGCAAATGGCGTTCATAATTATATATCTGCAAGCATTGATCATATATCTTACCTAACGGTGACGTTCTCGTTTAAGGGAGCTTAACTATTTTGCTTATCCAGCTTTAAAAATCAGAGTTTTAAATATAAACGTATTTTAAATCATCATCAAAATAATCAGGTTTACTTTTCTTTATATAATTTTTTAATATTCAATACTCCCAGGCTGTGTTTTAAATTCTAAGGTCGTTACCTTATATTTTGTGGTCTTTACATATACATATAAACGATTGTTTTATTGATGGCTTCTGTGCGTGTATTGCTTACTAATTCAAATAAAACTGTTAAGTTTTAACGTGGCAACGACCTGCGCATTTAGAACACAATTTGCTAGTAACGGAAATCCAGGAATGTACAAGATAAAGTAAGCAATGTTGTAATTTTTAATAGGATATTTTTAGAAGCTAACAAATCTAATTAGTCTTTCTTCTAATTTGTAGCTTACTTATTTTGTTGTATTTTCTGCTGACGACAATACATTTTCTTATAGTTTATTCTTTTCGCTTTCATTTAGTACCTATTTTCGGAGTTCTTGCAGTTCTGAGTCTGAGACAAAAGTGTCATCTGCTTATCTGATATTTTTTAAGATTGCAATCGCTGATAACAAATCCTTGTAGGTCTTCTAATACTCTTAGGGTCTTTTCACTGTGAAGATTGAATAAATCAAGCGAAATACAAGCTTGTCATCTCGCAAGATATGTTTATTTAATGAATTTATTAAGGTAAAATCTATTCATCATTGTTTTCACCCATTCTCAAGCTTCTTTTTAAGAAATCCGGGCAAGCGTGTTTCCATAATTTATTTATAAGTAGGTTTATGTTTGAACAGAACGCAGGATTTTATTTGATTTGATTTGTTTGTTTAACGTCATGTCAACTCCGGATGGGTCATTTATTGCCGAAATTTAATTTTTAGGGTAGTTTTAAAGTAATATAAATTACATATGTTATTCTGCTTTCACAGTTGAATACATGGTAGATGATACTCAGCTTTTGTGCATAGACCTGTTTGTGCGGATATAATTACTAGAGGTGGTGATATGTGGGTTTTATGTTGTAGTTGAAGTTATATTTAGGAATACAGTTTGAATTCTTTAAGAAATTTTTGGATATTATATGGATTAATATCATGAAAGTTCTTTCGTGTTGGTTGGTTGGTTGATTGGCTGATTTTGGTTAAGCCATATCAGGCTCTATTGGTTATTTAATGCCAAAATCTAAACATTTTGAACACGATGTCATGCCTTCAACTAAATATATTTTGAACGCAATTGCCTTCTACTACACATATAATGTATTGTTGGTATTTCTACCTATTGTATAAGACTAACTGTCGTTGCCTACACTGTGGTTTGAAAGTAAGATTCCATTATTAAGTAGATCACGTGATCATAAATGAAGTGATTAAATACGAAGTAGTGTGTTGACTAACTGATCACTATTTCTCCTCTATACTTTACTACAATACGGATAACTGTTCACTCTTCTTGTCTAACCATTATTACTATACGTTTACTCTCTCTACTCTACTACTATACGGATTACGATTCTTTTCTGACCATTATACTATTTGGCAATTACTACTTGAACAAGTATTACTAGTGCGGATATTATTGGAAAGCGTTACTACTAGTTCTGGAATCTACGAATTCTCGAATATAACGAGCATTTTTGGAAGGGTTAACGAGCTTCCTCTTGACATAGCAAAAGTGACAAGTGAAACCGTCCAACATCAAAAGAAATGGTCAAATCTTTATCCCAATATCCGAAATGATTCCTATGCCCAAATATTTATTCCAATTATCCAAATGTTCAGATCTTTATTCCAATGATCTTAAACATACATATGTACAGATCGTTATTCCAAGGCCCATAATGATTTCAATGCATTTAATGATTCCAGTAGTATTGTATAAGAGTAAGTTTCATTGCCGACACTGTCGGTTGAAAGTAGATCTTCAGAGAGTAACACAGGCGATTCTATTATTAAGTATATCACGTGATCACAAAGGAAGTGAATAAATAGGAAGTAGCGTGAAGAGTATACGTTCACTGTTCACTCTTCTCGTTTATCCTCTATTGCTATACGTTCACGCTCTCTACTCTACTACTATACAGGTTACAATTCTCTTCTGATCATTATATTATTTGGCGATTACTACTTGAACAAGTATTACTAGTGCGGATATAGTTGAAATGTGTTACTACTAGTACTGGCGTTTACGAATTCTCGAATATAACGAGCATTTTTGGAAGGGTTAACGAGCTTCCTCCTGAAATAACACAAGTGACAAGCAAAGCCGTCCAACATCCCAAGAAATTGTCAGATCATTATTCCAATATCTGTAATGATTCCAATGCTCTGATCTTTTTTTTTTCATTGTCCTTAATGATTCCAATGGAGTTGTAAAAGAGTAAGTGTCGTTACCGACACCGTGGTTTGAAAGTAGACCTCCAGCGAGTAACACGGGCGATTCTATTATTAAATAGATCACGTGATCATAAAGGAAGTGAATAAATAAGAAGTAGTGTGATGACTATCCGATCACTATTCACTCTTCTCTATCCACTATTGTTATACGGTCACTCTCTCTACTCTACGAGTTACGAATCTCTATTGATCATTATTCTATTTGGCAATTACTACTTGGACAAGTATTACTAGTGTGGATGTTATTGGAAGGCGTTACTTCTAGTACTGGCGTCTACGAATTCTCGAATATAACGAGTATTTTGGAAGTGATAACGAAATTTCGCTTTTCATAACAAAAGTGACAAGCGAAGACGCCCAACATCACAAACCTACCATAAGCACGCATTGCTGGTATTCCTCCCATATAAAAACGAATTGCTGGTACTCTTAATATAAAAATATATCTTTATACTTTCATAGTGTTTTATTTTCGTTTTGGTGTTCACTAGTTTCCCATAGCTGGGACCCTAACAGGTGCTATTACTCCGAGTTATGGTGAGCGTGGGAACAACAGCAATTCGGATGTTGTTCCACTCTCCTGAAAACCTCCAATCTCCTGATCAGAGGTTTTGGTGCCGGATGTAGTTTATCGTCATACAAGGGCGAAGGTAAGCTTTTAGGGTTTGGTGAGAGTCGAAAAAAGGAAATGATTGAGAAAATAATTTATTTTTAAAAAGTGTAAACAAAGGGAAAATGTTCAATTAAAGGTGAATCGTATGGCAAGAAACGGGAAAACAAGGAACACATTCAAAGAAGCAAAGAAATATATTTGAATGGAGGGATGTTTAAAAAAACGAGGGAAAGAGAAGAGGGTGAGTGAAAAGAAAAGGACAGATGAAACTCAAAGAAAGAAAGAAAGATAAAAAGAAAGAAAAAAAGAAAGAAAGGAAGATGGAAATTATGAAAATTGATTGAGAAAAAAAACAAAGGAAAAAAAATTGGAATGAAAGAAGAAATATGATAGCCCGTCTAATTATCGACCAAGGTAGGGTACCATGTATCGTTGTTCGATTCAGCTTGAAAGGATTTCAAAATACTGATTCTCAAGACAGGTTTTAGTTGATTGGCGCAACGTAATCTTCATTAGAAGCAAAGAAAAGAGCACTGAACTATTATGGGATATCTGTAATCCTATAGGGAGAAGAAACTTAAAGAAACAGAAATAGTTTTATAGAAGGATGCTGAGGACAATGTGGACGAAATATGTGTGGAACGACGAAGTCTTAGTGAAATTGGAACCAAAAAGTAAACTTATACTTAACATCAAGAAGAAACAGCTGAAATTTCTAAGGCACATAATGAGGAAAGAAGGCTCGGAAAATCTGATACTCAAACGGCAGATTGAAAGTAAGAGGGTCAGAGGAAAACAACGCATAGCATAACTTGTTAGCTTGAGTAATTGGAAGGCAGAACAGGGTTTATGAGAATTAACATTAAAGATATTATTAAGAATTACAAATGACAGGAAAGTGTGGAGAGCCATAATCGCTTGCGTCTTGAAGGGAAACGTGACATAAAGAAGATAAATCTTCTTTTCCTCTACTAATTACATTTTTCAGTGCTAAGCTAATATATCTAAAACATCATTAGCCAATATAGATTGACTGATTTGTTTTATACAGATTATCAACTTTTTGCCCGTTCTAGGTATAACGATAAACTTCATTCGCGTCCTGGGTAAGACGATATATTACATCTGCGTATGACGATAGACTACACCCGGCAGCAAGGCCGATGATCTGGATACGTCCTAGGTTTGACAATAGACTACACCCGGCAGCAAGGCCGCTGATCAGGAGGTTTTGAGGAGCGTGAAACCACCTCTTAATTGCTGGTGTTCCCAGGTCCACTCTGACCCGGGGTGGTAGCACCTCTTAGGGTCCCAGGTATGGAAAAATAGTTAACCCCCAAACCCATCCTCGTCCTGGGTAAGACGATAAATTACATCCGGCGTCCTGGATAATACGATAAACTACATCAAACCCTTAGATCAGGACGTTTTGAGAAGTATGGCACCATTTCTTAATTGCTGGTGTTCCAAGTTCCACCCAGATCCGGGGTGGTAGCACCTGTTAGGGTCCCAACTATGAAAATTTGAATCAATCTCCCAAACAACTGTGGGCAACAAATATCGCCAATAATTTTCTGTGACAAATGCATAACAATTTATTTATAAACACAGATGCTATACCAATTTTTTTTTGTAAGTAACACATAAAAACATACCATTGTATAAAAAAGTAGCGCTAGATGAGGGCGATTCATAATTTTCCCAAAGGTATTTGTGTATAAGTGAATCTAACGAGCCCAATGGGAATTGGAACTTGGCTCTCCGGTTAAGAATTCCTAGCCATTACCCATTACATGACCCATACATCTAAGCATACAACACCTGGTACTCCCTAGCAGTCACCCATCTAGGTACTGATCAAGCTCAACATGGCTTAACTTTGGTGGTCGTATGGGAACCAGTGTATTCATGTGATGTGGCTGTCTTGTAACTGTAGAGATACAAAAGGTAATTATCTCACTTTGATTGCGATGACGTCATATGTGTCACATGGCATTTGCTTAGTGATGACTCTTCATAGATTGATGAAAATGGCCAGTCCATCAGTTAACTGCCTGCGCACGTGTTGTTTGTTCAGCGAAGGATTCTGCTACATGACACTGTTATCCTTTGGGAAACCTATGTAATTACTGATGATATTTTTACATTGTAAGGATTTATTTGTATAATAAACATTTAGTGATACAAGTCTTACTAATTAACCCATAGCTGGGGAGAAGAAGATGTAGATTCATACCTTTGCTTAACCGTATTTGCGCATAACTGAATACAACAAACCCAACTGGAATTGAATCTCGGCTCTCCCATTAAAAATGCCATTACGTCACGCGCACATCCAAATTTACAGCAACAGGTAATCCCTGCTGTCACCGATCTTGGTAGTGACCATACTCGACGTTGCTTAATTTCGGTAATCGTACGGGTACCGGTGTTTCAACACGATATGGCCGTAAGACATTTACAGCACAAGCCCATCCATGTTTACAGCACCTGATATTCTTAAGCGGTCTTGGTAGTAACCATGTTCGACGTTGTAGAATCTCGTTCATTGTAAAGGAACCTCTTTTTCAACGTGATATGGCCGTAAGTCAGAAAAAAAACAAGAAAAAATAGGAATCAGAATGAAACGAAAAATTAAGTAAAAATAATAAAAAATATACACTAAGCAAATTGAGAAAATAGTTGGAAATTGGAGAAAAAAAAACTTAAGATCCAATTTGAAAACCCGATTGGAAAGAAAAAAATAACGAATAAACAATGCAAGAATCCTGGATAAAAGAAAAACAAAACTAACAAACGTGAAATTTTAACAAAGAATGATTCACTCGTGTTTATGACATGAAATATTATTTAATCAATCCAATAACCAAAATCCTGTCAGATAAACAGCGAATTTCGAAAATTTGTTTTAGGAAAACCGAGACTGAATTCACGGAGAGTAGACGGTCGGCTCGTAATAATTTCGCAAGAAAAATAAATTATTTGTACGATGTGACATCAATGATTTTGGCTTCAGCCAGAACCCGTATTGTTGTGTGAAAAGTTCAAAGTTCCCGATCGAGAATATAGACGAAAGTGTTTTTCTTGTATCTGTATAGTGAGCTTGCCTAACGCTGTAGTTATAAAAGAAGCCGGTGAAAGGCACTAAGAACACTGAGTAGAATAAATTGCTTTTATGGTTCCAAGATTTTATAATAGATTCTGTTTTGCAGAGGAAGAAAGGCGAACTGCATCTGGCAAGATGGAGAAACGAAAGCTTGAATTTGAGGCGGGAATCCAAGCAATGGCGGTAAATCTAGTTTAGGGGAAGAAAGAAAAGAAAAATACTTGCAAATAGGAAAGGCTTGGGAGAATAAGATAGGATATTGAATAAAATAAATGGATTCTTCGAAGGTGAAATAAATGTAAATAGATGACAGATAAATGAAGAGAGGTAGAAAGGAAAATGGAAAGAGAAACAAGTTAGAAGATTTGTAGAAAGACAGCATTTAAAGAAATAGAAAAGGACAGAAAAGATGAGTAAGAACATGTGGGTAGGGAGAAAGAAAGAAGAGTAATGATAAAACGGGGGAACCTAATTTTGGGCTCAGTGGCTTCAGAGGTCGATTGTCAGGTTAAAATTATATCACGAGCAGCCTGTATTGGCCTTTATACGGATCTACGATGAGGCGATGAAAAGTTGTCGGCCTGAGACACTTTCGAAAATCTGACCAAGGCACCAAGCATCATAATGTCTTTGAGAGTCCTTTCTCGGTTAAGCCAAAACTTTTCAATGAATACTAGACAAGTTCCTCATAACTCTCAGAAATTAGACAAAGTACAGCGTAACCCGGATGTAAGAGAGTTGTCGGGGCCGGAGAAGAAGTCTCTTATATCCGGGTTTCTCTTATATCCCGGTTTGGTCTATTTTATATACATTAACACAGGCTCTAATTTGGGACCAGAGAAAATCTCTCTTATATCCGGGTTTCTCTTATATCAGTCTCTTATATCCGGGTTACACTGTATTAAGAAGATATAAAAAAATTCTTCTTCCTCTTCTTCTGTGTATTGTTTTCCTTTAGAACATAGGCGATCATAGCTCTCCACAATTTCTCTTCCCCTATAGATCTCCGCAACGCTTGTCCATTTGCATAAATCTCGCCCACACCGTTTCACCATCCATTCAAATAATTTCGTCAGGTGCGTAAATTGGTATTTACCATAGACTTCCCCACAAGACAGGATGTTGCACAAAGCCGATTTTTACCGTGGGGCTATTCCGAGCGCGTACACTCTGGCAAAAATTCCCCGTAGACTCCGAATACACGGGGTCGGGTGACTGTCTGTTTTTACCCAGACGAGACTCTCCCCGCAGACATAGTCTGAATTCCTTCCCGCCCGAATGCAGAGAGTCCTACAAGCAGAGTTTTTGGCTAATTTGGTATTTACCTGAGACTTCCCCACAAGCCGGGATGTGGCACAAGGCCTGTTTTTAACTTGGGGCTATTCCGACCGCGTACACTCGGGTAAAAATTCCCCGTAGACCCCGAAAACACGGGGATGATGACTGTCTGTTTTTATCCAGACGAGACTCTCCCCGCAGGCATAGCTTTTGTCTGAGTTCCTCTCCACCCGAAGACAGTGAGTCCGACAAGCAGATTTTTGGCTAACTCAGTCAGTCTTTGCGCTGTCCTTTTTGACTTAGATATGCCCTGTGAGTGTCAATTTCTCCAAGCCTTCCTTCTTCATTATGAACCCAGCAACTTTCAGTTATCTCTGACTAAATTGATTTTTATATGCAGTTATTTTTTTTTTACTCTATAGCTGAAGTGATTTTAAAAAATATTTTTTATGTTTGTTTAACGGCAGACCAACTCCTAATGTGCCATTTAATGCCGAAATTTAATTTTGGGGGAATCTTTGAAGTAATAAAAGTATATATCGATCTGCTTCCACAATTGAATTCATGGTAGATGATACTCAGCTTTTATGAATATATGTCATTTTTTTTGTTTCTATTTCCATTGAAATTCTTTAAGCACTCCGTCCAGAGTATCCTCAGCATCCTTCTGTAGCGTCACATTTTTGTTACCCCCAGTTTTCTTTCAATTCGTGAGGGGATTGCCTGACATTCACTCTCATATTAAAGGACTGAGATTAAGTATCAGTTCAGCATTCTTTTTTTTTATTCTAAGGCATTTTCTATTTCTTTGTTTTTAGGTTGGTTTGGTTTGTTTAATGGCATAACAACACTTTATGGGTCGTTTAATGCCGATTTTTTTTTTTTTTGGGTGGGGAGAGGAAGGAAGTGTGGCAATTTTTGCTTTTTTACTATTAAAATATATTGCTAGAATTTACTATTAAAATCTATTTGTATATTGTTACAATTAAAATATATTACTGGAATTTTTTAATTTAAAAATGTATTTTTATTCTTTCATACTGTTTTATACCCATTCACTATTTGCCCATAATAGGAACTGCCACACTAATTCAGGGTGGATTTGTAAACGTCAGCAATTAAAAGTAGACCCCCTCACTCAAAATCCTTCAATCAGAGTCCTTGCTGTCGGATGTAGTTTATCGTCATACCCAGGACACACTATGTTCTTAGAAGCATTCTTTGTTTCGAAGAACACTGAACTAAAATAAAGAGAGAAAAAAAAACAGTACTTGACAGTTGTGTCTTATCTAATTTCTTAATATGACAGTGAAGAGGGAAGAATCTCTTCTCACGTTTTATAGAAACCGAAAGAATTTATCTTACTCAGTGGAAATCACCGATACAAAATTATCAAATTATTCTAATTCAGAAATATGTCACTAAAGTTTCGCTTTCAATGTTGCAAAAATGTGCATTACGATTAATACCACCGTTATCTATAGTGTCTAAAATATCGTCACATGCTGCATTATGAGAAACAAAATCAGTACCTATGTCATTACTAAATCGTTACTATTGCTTTAGGATATACTAGGGGGGAGTGAATGAATAGGAACGTGAAAAAACGGCGGGAAAACGAATGTATAAAATAATTCAGGCTAGGAAAACAGGGAATCTGAATGAGTAAGTGAATGAATGAATTAATGAATAAACGCGAGAAAGAAAGGGAATCTTATGAATGAAACTTAGGAATATATGACACCCGAATAAATGAATGAATAATTGAATGAAAGCGAGGAAAACGAATGAATAATATAATGAAAGTTATAAAATATCTGAACGAGTGAATGAATGAACCAGGGAGTGAATGAATGAAAGCGAGAAAGACAAGGAAACGAATAAATAAGAGAATGAAATCTAAGTACATAGGATATTTAAGTGAGTCCAACTGTGAATGAATGGCGGAATGAGTGAATGAATGGCTGAGTGAGTGAATGAATGAAAGCAAGGAAGACAGGAAAACTAATGAAGAAAAATACGATTACAAAAGAGTAAAAATGAAAGAAAGAAAGTGAATAATGAAGACTGAATTAGTAAATGAATGAATGTGAGAAAGGCAAGGAAACGAATGAATAAGGGAATGAACGCTAAGTACATAGGATATTTAAGGGAGTCCATCTGTGAATGAATGAGCGAGTGAGTGAGTGAGTGAGTGAGCGAATGAATAAATGGGTGAGTGAGTGAGTGAGTGAGTGAGTGAAGGAAGGCGAGAAAGACAGGAAAACTAATGAAAAATACAAAAAAAATGAATGAAGGAAAGAGAAAAATGAATGATGAGTAAATGAATGAAAGCGAGCAAGACAAGGAAACGAATAAATAAGTGAAGGAAAGCTGGGGACATAGGATATTTAAGTGAGTCCATCTGGGAGTGTGTGTGCATGACGAGTGAGTGAGTGAGTGAGTGAGTGAGTGAGTGAGTGAGTGAGTGAGTGAGTGAGTGAGTGAAGGTGAGAAAGACAGGAAAACTAATGAAGAAAAATACAACAATAGAATAAAAACGAATGATAGCATGTGAAAATGAAAGCGGGAAAGACAAGGAAATGAGTGAATAACTGAATGAAATCTATTTAAGTGAGTCCATCTGTCAATGAATGTGTCGGTGAGTGGGTGAGTTGGTGAGTGAATGGGTGACTGAGTGAGTGAATGAAGAAGAAAAAGCAGGAAAACTAATGAAAAAAAAATACGATAACAAAAGAATTAAAAACAAATGTAAGAAAGTGAAAAAGAAATGAATGATAGTAAGATAAAAAAAAAAGTATGAATGAATAACAAGCTAACAAACTACCATAGTATTCAAGTTTTGTGATCATTGCTCCACGGCGGTTCGCACATCTTTAAGAAATACTTTTGACTACTTTTATAATATGGCGCTAAACACAAAGAGTGTAGTATACAGTAAAAATTACACAACAGGAAGCAAAAAGCATTTGAGAAATTGGCTTGCTAACCACTTCCAAAGTCTACCTTGATTCCAATGTTTTTAGTATTAGTGAGTGAGTTTTTGAGCAACGAAAAGGTTTTGGGGAAGATGCAACCCATGAGGAAATTTATACTTGAGATCAGGTAGAGGTAGATGAAATTTCTAGGACACGTAATGAGAAAGGACGCCTTCGAGAATCTGATACTCACAGGACGAATACAGAAAGAGAGACAAGGAAAAGCAACGTATGATATACGTAACGGTGTTAAGCAAGTGGATGACAGAACAGGGCCTGGGGGAAGTAGCAACTGGACAAAACTTATTGAGAGCTACAGGGGATAGGGGAAAGTGGAGAGCCTTGATCACCTACGCCCTGAAGGGACACGGTACATAAAAAGATAAGAAGAGTGAGAAAGCAGCTCATCAACAGCGTGAAGCTGGGTTTACAATTAAATTCACCCTAACAACCAGTCTCAGAAGGGTGTACCAGGCACATGTACCCCAGGCAAATGTACGGTAATACCAAATTATTTCTATCGCAAAAAAAAAAAATTATAATTTTTTTAACGTGCACACGAACTTTATGGACACCATATATATATATATATATATATATATATATATATATATATATATGATAACAGGTGATGAAATATATGTAGTATACAACACTGTTTAATGTAAAAAGCGGTGGATTGACAGGGATATATATATCCACTAGTGAACCCAACTATGGCTCTACGCATAAAAATAATGTTCATGTATTTACATTGTATTTTCTGACTAAATTGATTTTTATATACAGTGATCTTTCCGTTTTTTTTTTTTTTGTATAGCCGAAGTGATTTTAAAAATATTCTGTATGTTTGTTTAACGGAATATCAACTCGTTACATATCATTTAATATCGAAATTTAATTTGGAGGGAGATTTGAAGTAATAAAAATATATGTCATTCTACTTTCACAATAGAATTCATGGTAAATGATACTCAGCTTTTATGCATAAAAAGCAGAATTCCACATATCCGGAATCCCTTTTATCTGGAGTGCTTCATATCCGGAATCCCGTATATCCGGACATGATTTTCATGTGAATTATTTGGGTGATACGTAACTGATTTTCAGGAAATTTACTTTGGACAATTGCTTACACTTATTTAACCCTAATGGCTTTTATTGGTGCAAAAGATGCTGGGAATAAGAGGAAATGATAACGACGAGAGACATCTGCAACAAGATAGCGAGGAGATTCATGATTGTGATGAAACCTGGACCGAAATTGAAAAAGCTATTGAAAAAGTTTTCAGTTTTATGCATAGAAAGCCAGTATTCAGCTATGACGATTGCGATAACGCACACAGAGTTAAAAAGTGTCTTTGATTTAAGAAATTTCAAGAACAAAAGCAAAACGAAATGCGGAAAAAGTTGAGAATGACATTAGAAGAGAAAGAATCATCATGCAACAGAGATTAAAAATCCTCGTTACATTATTTGTTTTGCATACGTGGTATACTTAATTTAATGAATTTTCATTAACATTACATAATTTATTTCTTTTTCCTTAAAATCAATTCCGTTATATTTCACTCACCATTAGCTTTTTTGTTTACTATAAAACATTGAAAATAAATGTTAAACCTGATTTCAGTTTTATTTTATTTTTATTTTTATTTATTTTAATCTAAATATAACCCCCATATCCGGATTTTGTAACCAATTCCTCATACCCGGAAGGCTTTCTTAGTCCGATTGTCAGGGTTGTATATGTTTGTGCTGACAGGATTACAAGATGGTTGATAGTTGCGTTTTATGTTGTTTTGTTAAAGTTATATTTTGGAATATAGTTTGATTTTGATATTGTCGGGTATTATAGAGACTAATGTCATGAAAGTGTTCTTTCATATTGTTTGGTTGATTTTGTTTAGTGGCATATCAACACCTCTATGGGTTATTTAATGCCGAAATTTAAATATTTTGAACACAATTTAAAGGCTTCAACTAAATATATTTTAAACATAGTTGTATGCCTTCAACTAAGGATAAAAATATTGTTGGTCATTCTATAAAATTGTATGTTTATGATTGCATAATATTTGCTTTTACTATTTGCCCATAGCTTGGACTCTAATAAATTCTACTAATTCAGGTCAGAGGGAACCTGGTAACAATTATAATTAAGAGGTGACTCGACGCTCCTCTTAATCGCCATTGTCCTGATCAGAGCCCTTGCTGATGGACTTACTTAATATTTTGCAATGATCTGCTAGAGAGCAATACAAATCCATATCGATGTATACCTGTTTTTTAATATATATACAAAAGCGTTTGATGAAGTATTTGGGGAGGATATTAGAATAATCCAAAACTTATACTGGGAGGAAACTACCTGTATACGGATAGAATAACAATTCAGTAAATATACAAAAATAGAAAGAGCGATACGACAAGGGTATGTCCTCTCGCCGGACTTATTCAACCTGTATAGTGAGGCTATTTTGAGAGACGTATAAGGATTCGTTATTGGCAGCTACAATGTTAACAATATAAGTTATAAAGATGACACAATGCTGATAGCAGACACAGAAAGAAAAGTAGTTACTGAAGTGCTAAACATCAATTGTAAGAAAACAGAATGTATGATTGTTTACAAAAGGAAGAGCCCAAGATGCAAATTAGAAATAGCGATATAAAAATCTGGGAAGCGTTTTAACAGAGGACAGAAAATGTGTCAGTGAAATCCGAAGGCGCATTAGGAATAGCCTAAGATGCCTTCCAAAAGGTAAGTAAAGTATTAAGAAACGGGAAAATTTTGATTAGAAACAAGAGAAATAGTACGGAACTGTTATGTAATATCAGTCCTCCTATATGCTGATTAATAAGAGACCTGAGGCAACAGAAATTTGTTTCTAAAAAGGATACTGAGAATACCGTGGTCTGAAGAACGACGAATGGTTGAAGAAAATTGGAAAAAAAGACATTTAGAATCAGAAATAAACATTTGAAAGCTCTAGGGCACATAGTGAGAAAAGACGGATTAAAAATATTAACACTCACAAGACATAATGAAGGCAAGAGTGTTAGACATTTTATGACCGTCGTCTTCGAGTATAGAATCCAGAGGTTAGCAGTGAATATTTCGGAGACAGTAGGAAAGCGTAGTTCAGGTTAGCAGTGGATATCGCAGCAAAGTAGCATAGTGTAGTACTTCCTTCTGTCATCTTCGCCTGACAAGTTGGTACTGGTCATTCGGGTAGGATAAACAAAAATGGCCGCCTTTATAGACGACGGATAGAATGTTCTGCGTCTTCTGATTGGTTAACCTTCTATTGGTACACTATAAAGCGAGTCAAGGCATTTGGACCAACTCACTAGTTATATATATACGTACATATACACAAAAAACTGTAACAAAGAGTGGCAGAGGAAAACAGAGCTAACGATCTTGTGTGTATGTTGGCAGGACAGGGTTTAGGAGAGATAAGAAAATGACAAAATGTACCAAGAACCAGAAAGAACAAGAAATTGTGGAGTGACCTTCAAAATCAATGACTGTTTTTTAACAGCATTCACCAGATTTCTTTTTCTTTTCACGTTTTATAAAAGGAATGCATCAGCAGACCGACAACTCGAAATAAGTTCAGTTAAGTATTGTGTTCAATGCAGTTATATTGCGGAAGATTTTCCAATTTATATTGGCGCCCTGAGTTTTCTTTTACACTGCTTAATCAATATCACTTTGGAGAGGAATTCGGCGCCAACTTACACTGCAAACAACAATGACTCCTAATGATTGTTTCTATTTTCATAGTTATACAAATGTTATCTATTTTATACTTGAATAATGCACACTCTGTTCTTAACATGCCTGGAACTGAAAAAAATGAAAGCAAATCAAACAGTATAGCAATTATCTCTTGACCATTACAGAAGGTGGGGTCTGCACTGTAATGCTGTCATAAAACATCCAATTTTGACATGACATCGACCTTCTTTATGCTGAAATTTATATCGCATCAAGTGTGTTGATTTTTACAGATCAAACTTTGTTCGGATGTTGAAAATCGAATTTAGTATGTGCGACCTGTTGTAAAACTATAATTAGAAGTGTTCATTACTATTTCTCTAGTAGTTTAGTCTTCAAGGTCAGGAATAGTGGTATCTACTCGTTCGCCTACGTCGCAACCGGGTATGATAATAGGGTGGAGGTTTAAGGTGTGTTTATCTGCCACACTGCGCAATAATTCCCAAGATCCCTCGGTGGGATGATTTACCACGAAGCTCGAAACGTGTGCGAACGTGTCTTCCTTGCATGACAAATCCAAAAGGAAACATGGCTGCTGTCGGAGACGCGATTCGTGCGCGCCGGTCTCGTCCAAAACGAGATTGTACCAGCACACATGAAAATTTGAGCAGTGTCGGACTAGTATAAAAAGGCGAGGTGCCAGCGGCACAGCAGAAGGCGAGTCATTTTCGGCGGACTTCGTGAAACAGAGTCGGACTTGCGAATAGACTGGCAGACCATAGGCGGTTGAAGTAGGCGCGTTTGATTTGGGTGTTCGTTTCACGACTGCCCGGTGTAACGGCCAAGAA